CTTGTGTCGTAGACAGTGCTGTGGTGCAATGTGATGTGCACCCAGCCGTCTGAACAAGCTGTCCATATCCACACCCGCTGACTTCCACCCACCCACGCCGGTGCTCCTATGCTGCAGACTGCACACTACCAAGCCGCTACCGTGATGTACGGCCGGTCACCCTACAAAGCCACAATAAACACGGCCAGGTGCTTCACCAGAAACACCCAATGATTGTTTTAGGGGGAGTGTAGTGAATTAGACGTTCATCTGTCAGACCTCTCTACTGTTGTCCTTAAGGGATATTTGCCATACTTATGGAATCGTGATTTGGTTCCTTCATATGGTGGCGGGAAGCCGCATTTCTTAGTTGCTTGTAACGGGAAGTGCAGACCATGCTGCTCCAACCTTATGTCACAAGCACGCTGCAGGCATGGGCAACTTACTGAAGCTAAGCAAAATCATGTCACACTCACCAGCAACAACGCCAGAGCCAGCCGTAGCCGCAGCTGCACATAAAGGAGAAACGATAGGGATGCACCATTGACATCAATACTTGCTCAAGGGAACATGTTCATAGGTTCCATACAGCTTGCCAACAGTAAGAGATCTAAACGTTCCGAGGACCATACAATACACCATGCTCCTCAAGTTCACCGATGCCTAATTGAGCTGCTGATTGCTGCTTTCAGGGCGATAGGCTGCTGGAGATGAAGGTGTGCTCAGAGGTCATTCATGTTGAGAGATAAGACACCAATGCTAGCTTCATACAATAGATAACGCACCGTTCCAAAGCGGCTGTGACTTTAGGTGTCTTCATCATTGAAGCAGATCAACCGTCACGGCAAGCCCTCGTTATGCGTGTTTTGGTTACGATACCAGGTATAGGACAGAAGCAATCCCTAATGCAAAATATTTTCCCGACACGCTATTTGGCAGGGTCCGCGCCGCAGCCTCAGATGTACCCCAAAAACAACCGGCCTAATGGCCAACCCCGTTCAATGTGTGCGCACACAGGTTGCTTAAGTTGGTTTTGTCTTCAAATTGAGAGCGACCAATAGTAGCCGGAGCACACGCAACGCGGACTCTTCGGCAAGGTATGAGTTGAGAAGGAATCGCGCTTAGGATTTACCTATAATAGCATCCACCACGCCAGGCGCCAGACGCGCGTCGACGAGCCCTTCCCGTCTGGCAGTCCGCAAACGGTCAGCGGTGTTGTACTTCGCTGCCCAGAGCTTATCTATGTCATCTTCATCCAGTCCAACAGAACCCAGGCCAGCGTCTGCAACAGCAGCACACATAAGCTTCCTCCACTCATCTGGCGTCATAGCGTCTCGCAGGTTCTGCTTTATCTGCGTCGAGCCCAAGTACTAGGTGAACGCGAAATTAACACAGCTAAAGGTTGAAGTTCGTGTTCTGCTCGTTGCAATTGCAAGCTCTGACCAGAAAGAAATTTCGGGAGTCAAGCCGGAAATTGTTTCCAACCCTGGAGCTGACCGTTAGTACCGCCTTCCATTTGACAGCACAAAACAATTTTTCCTTAGGATTTTAATACGTTTCATGGAATGCTGGCGACCCGCTGAAGCGAATCTGAAAGGGCGCCACCACAGCTGCTTGTGCGATGCATAACTGAAGCCTAAGCGCTCGTTCACCGTACACAGCCAAAGTAGCTGGCGCACGTCAGCGACGAGGGCAGCATCTAGAGTATGTACCACTGTTCCCCTTCCTGTGCCGCCCGCTTCACCGCCGACAACGAAGGGCCAAGTACGGTGTGAAGTACGGGTAATTTACCGGTTCCCAAGATTTGCATAAACGCTGGAATTATAATTCGCTGAATAAGCAATGGGTGGGTGGGTGGGCTAATCGAAAGCAAGGAATCCAAATGATTTGCGCAAGCTGTTGCGTAATGCTCGGGTTCGCGTTTTCAGCCGCGGCTATGACGATCTCGCCAAGCTGGGACCCAAGGGTCTGCCATGCGCCGCCTTTGTGCATGGGCCATCTTTAACCTTTGCAGCACCTACAACCTGCTGATTCGAAAGAATCCTTAGAATGTAGCGACATATTGCGGGAGTTCTTGGGAGATTTGCCGGTCAACGGTTATGGCTCACTTATCACCAGATTCTCATCCGGCAGGGTCATGCTGAGCCGGATGCAGTAGCCGTAAAGTAGAACAAATTGTTGGCGCCGAGTCGCTATCTGCGATGGACTGCCGCCAACACCCCGGTTCCCATTCCCGTCGTGACCCTGCTGCGCGACTTAAAGGGTGTTCTGCCTGCCGTGAAGCCCTTGCATACACGGCCATGAGTGCGGGATTATCCGCGGATTCCGGATAGATTATCCGCGCGTGATCCCCTACACATCCAGATTTCTTTCGGGGCTTTCCCCGCCCTCAACCTGGTGCTGCTTGCCGAGTTGCTGCAAGCTGCCAGATGTAGATTGCGAAGGTAGACACAGGAGCTTCCAGGAAATTTGCTTGCCTGGAGATCTAGAGAAAGTCTACCAATGCCGTTGCCTGCCCTTTCAGCACCCCCTCTCTGTATCTCCCACTTGCTCTACTTGCAACCCCCCCGTGACCACTATCTCTTCCGAATGGGCCTCGCCCGATAGCGATCAGGAGGGAAGCTAGGCGCACCGCGACTGGGGGGGGAAATGACGATGCCTCCCCGGGTGGGAGAAGCGGTGCGCCTACACACCGACTGTCTCCGAACAATGGCAAGATTGGGCCTGATCCTGGCCAAATAAACGCCTCAAATCTCTATCAAGCACCTTAAGTCTCTGTAATAAAAACATACCTTCCACACTTCCTCTCCCACCAAATGCAACCTTCGTCCCACTTTGGACCCGTACAACCTCAGCAACCACCTTCACCGTATCCAGTACTTCTGAAAATACCATAACTGAAGCCTAAGCGCTCGTTCACCGTACACAGCCAAAGTAGCTGGGCGCACGTCAGCGACGAGGGCAGCATCTAGAGTATGTACCACTGTTCCCCTTCCTGTGCCGCCCGCTTCACCGCCCCAGCCACCCGCGCCCTGCGCGCATTCTCCTCCCCTTCTCATCCCTACCGCCTAACTCTTGTTTCCCCCCCCCCCCAACCACCCGGCGT